GTTCTGGGGTTCTACTTAGCTATTCATAGTTGTAGGAATGCAACGGGCGGTATTGATGAAGCATATACTCCTAAAATACTGTACAATGCAAGGCCAGAACAGCGCAAAACAAAGTCTCTCAGTATGTTTAAAACTTCAATCATCATTGTTCATAGTGCGGTAATAACGTGAACTCAACATCCAACAATACTTTCAACAGCAAATAGACCAAAGAAATTAAATTTAAAAGGCTAGTGTTGTTCAAATGAATAAAAACCAAGCCTAGGTGTTTCATGAAATGTCTCATTCAGATGTGGTTGTTTGGAACTTGATGATTCGTGGGTATTGTAAGATAGGAAATGTTAAAATGGGATTTCAGCTGTTCAGGCAAATGGATGAGAGGAGTATTGTCTCTTGGAATACGGTAATTTCGTGTTTGGCGCAGATTGGGAAGGATAAGGATGCTTTGGAGCTTTTTCATGAAACGCGGGACGGTGGGTTTGAGCCGGATGAGGCGACTGTGGTTACTATGTTGCCGGTTTGTGGCCGCGTGAGGGAAGTTGAGGTTGGTAGGTGGGTTCACTCTTCTTTTGTCGAGTCAAATGATCTCTTTCAAGATTTTGTAACAGTGGGTAACGCACTAGTTGACATCTATTGCAATGATTTAGGAAGATGGCCAGAAAGAATGTGGTTTCTTGGAATGCAATGATTTCAGGCGTGGCTTTCAATGGCAAGGGGGGAACTTGGGGTTGAATTGTTTGATGAGATGACAGATGAAGGTGAGAGCCCGAACGATTCAACTTTTGTGGGAGTTTTAGCATGTTCTTGTTTAGCTTGATGTTTCGAAAGCATGGCATAAAATCCAAAGCATGAGCATTTTGGATGCAGTCGATCTTCTTGGACGTAATGGTTGCTTAAAAGAGGCTTTTGATCTAATAGAGACAATGCGCCTCTCAGGCGTAGATCGGCTGGCTATGGGATAACCTCATTAGGCCCAGGTCTGTGTGGTCGATTCTGGCTCTCCTACCGTCTCATGTATCCTTGGAGGGCGGGGTGCACGGGCGCAGGGAAATTAGTCTGACAAAGTTGGAATACTTCCTATATTGAAAAAAAAAAAAATCTAATAGAGACAATGCCAATGAAGCCAAATGCCCGATTATGGGGTGCATTGCTTAGTTCTAGCCGAACTCATGGTGATATGGAACTTGCAGAAAGAGTCGTTAAGGAGCTTATTAACTATGTGTTGTTGTCAAATATATATATATATATATATATATATATATATATGCAGAAAGGGGGGACTGGGATGAAGTTGAGAAGTTGAGAGTGTTAATGAGAAAAAACCGTGTGATTAAGGTGCCAGGACAGAGCATGTTTGTGCAATTCTAAGTTTGAATGTTGGATATGCAAAGATGGGAGCAGATATAATGTAGCAAATTTCATGAAAAAAAAAAGTCCTTTCTTTGTCAAAAAAAAAAAAAGAATAAAAACCGTAACTAGTCTAAATCGATGTCTTCAACCTATATAGTAAAAGCGCGAATGGCTGGTGGTGGTTGTGCTGATGTGGCTGCATTTCATTCGCTTGGGGGTCGTCATCTATCGCGTTCGGATTCTTGCTTTTGTCCGCTGGGAAGAGAAACGCAATTCCAGCTTTTTGTCCGAGAGGCGAAAATGGAGACCAGCTGACCTGCTGAGCAAGCTTATGGCGGTTGGTGCTAGGCTCAATGTGGGTATGCATGGTTTTACAATTTTACCCTTCTTTTTAAAAAACAGCTGCACCGTTGTTTGTTGCTGAGCTTATTGCTTGCCTTTGTCCTTTGTTGAGAAGAAATTTCAGCTCTGTTTTGTCCGCTGGGAAGAGAAGCGCAATTCCTGGTTTTTGTCCGAAAGGCCAAAATGAAGACCAGCTGACCTGCTGAGCAAGCTTATGGCGGTTGGTGCTGGTTTGATTGATATAACAGGTATTGGGTGATGGGCTCAATGTAGGTTTGCATGGTTTTACAATTTTACCCTTCTTTTTAAAAAACAGCTGCACCGTTGTTTGTTGCTGAACCTATTGCTTGCCTTTGTCCTTTGTTGAGAAGAAATTTCAGCTCTGCTTTAGAGACCTGCCAAAAACGACCTTTTTGCTCTTTCCTTTGATTGAAATACTTTGTTTTTCCGATGTATGCAGAAGTTCCTATGTTTCTGAAGCCGCCTCCTCCAGCCGTCACTATCATGATCCACGGTAACTGTGCCTTGCTTCTGCTGGTCTTTCCTTTCTTTCCATCCGTTTGCTTCTATCTCCTTTGTTGTGAGCTCGTTTCTTTCCTTTTCCTTATTCCCTCTGTCGGAGTTGCTGCCTTCCTGCGTTCTTCTTTCAAATTTGCTAGCCCTGTTACTGTTACATTTTAGCTCCAGGTGAGTTTGTTGCCTGGGATTGTCATGTTTATTTGATTTTTCCCCCTAAATTTTATGCCCTATTGAGCTCTTGTTGTTGCCTTGACTGTTTCCTTTGCTTTACGCCCCATTTTGCTTCTTCTGTTGCTTTATTCGGCTTTGATTTCCTGTATGCATCTTTTTAACTCCGTCTTCCATTTCCCTCCTGCCAATGTTGCTCACAACCCTATTTGCTTTTTTGTTTTAGCTTCTACTCTGCGTTCCTTAGCTCGTACAGGTAACCTTTCCGTGCCTTATGTTTTATGCTTTTTACCCCCCTTTCCCCTTGATTTCCAGATAGATTTTCCCCTTTTGTTCTCTGCTGCGTGCTATCCCTCATTAGCTCTTTTATCGTTGTATCATCTTAATTTTCCCCCTCTTGTTACTCTGTTTAATACAGTAGCTGGTTACGTGCCCTTTTTTCTGCTGCTCTCCTGCTGGCTGGTAGAGGCTTGCTCCACGTAACTGAGGTTCTGCTGGCATCTCTTGTTCTCCCTTCTGCATGTGCTTGCCTTTTTTACTTTGCCTGTTACCTTAGCTTTTTCTGCTGCTCTACTTTGGTCCATGCTATTGTTATGTCATTCTAAAATATTACAAGCCTTGCTTGAACCTTTTCCTCCTTTGTACTGTTTTAAGCTGCCCTGTGGTGGCTTCAAAATGTTACAGCTTTTAAAAAAGTTACGAGGCTTGCTGGGTTGTTTGCCTGCTCTGTGCTTATCCGCTGAATTTCCTGTTTTGTGTTGCTCTACTTTGGTCCATGCTATTGTTACGCCATTCTAAAATATTACAAGGCTTGCCTGAACCTTTTCCTCCTTCGTGCTGATTTTAGCTGCCCTGTAGTGGCTTTAAAATGTTACAGTGTTTAAAAATGTTACGCGGTTTGCTTGGCTGCTTACCTGCTTTATGCTTACGTGTTCAATTTCCTGCTTCTATGTAAGACCTGTGCTTTAGCTTTTCTTCCCTGTGCTCTTTTTCCTTTTTATAAGGTCCCTTTGCCTCGCACCTCTGTTATGCCATTTATTTGCTCTGCAAGTTTTCCTTGGCCTTTTACCTCCTTTGCCCTTATTTCGTCGGCCCTATGGTTGTTCGTTAGAGACGCACATTGGTCTTTCTTTCCCCTGCTAAAAAATGTAGTCATCAGATCGATAGAAATGCTATGCGCTTTTGCCTCCTTTGCCCTTATTTCGCCAGTCCTATGGTTACGCATTAGAGATGTGCGGTAGTCTTTCTTTCGCCTGCTAAAGTATGTGGTCATTAGATGGATAGAAATGCTATGCGCCGCAAAAGATATGCGGAGATGCCGCCTCTAAAGAAAGCGGCGCTTCTGCGTTCTCGAAGAGAAGCTAAAGCAGCAAAGAAAGCTGGAAATACTTTACCTGCGCGTGTTCGCAAGGTTCCATTAGCCTATGTCGAGACTGGTGTATCTTTCCCAGGTACTCATCGAATGGCGTGCCATTCTGAAGATCCAACTTCTGTGCATTCTCAGCCGTTGGGAAGCACAGATGTTGTGTTTCCTGCTGAAAATCCATTTGCGATGGTAGAGGGATTAGAATTCATGTCTGAACAGCTACCTGGTTCCTTTAATAGTTGTTCTTCTTCCTCGTTTCCCAGAGAAAATCCTGTGCAGATTACATCTCCTCCTCAAGGTATACCGGGGCTGCTTGGTGTCCAATATCTTCACCCGTTTACCTCCCACTCTTTGCCATCATTTACCCTTATCCGTGTCTTTAGGTTGCCGCTGTTTCCCTTGTACCTCTTAAAATTACACCTGCCTTTGTTCGTTACTGCAGAACTTCCATCCCGTAGTGGCCTTGTTGCAGCAAAATATCAGGGATCGTCCTCTGGTGCAGAGCCGGAGAAGATCCCCGTTCGTTCTACTGATTTCCAGCACACTACTGGATCAGCTAAAGAAAAGCATAAGTCCATGCTATCCCTTTCACCTGGAAATGAACACTCCCTGAACAATGAACATCCTGAAGTTATACTTAACTCATTTCCTTTGACTTCGCCTCTTATAATCTCTGAACCATCACCCCAAAAAGAATTAACTTGTGGAAGCAATTCTTTGTCCCCTTGGCTTTCAGATTCTGCTTTACCACCTCCCTACACAGGTACTGCACTACCTTGGCATATTCATTTTCTTTGTATAATTCCTGACCTGCTTCAACCAAGCTATAAACAATGCCTGTGCATCTTTATAGCCTGGTTTCTCAGAACCTTCACCCATGCTTCACCCTTGCTTCACCCTTTCCCCCTAAGGCCCTTTGGACTATTTTAGACATCTTATTCGGATCTGTCATCCGCTTTATTCACTTCTGTAATCCGCAGCCGTGTTTCCTGTAAACACAATGAGTGCGGCCAGGTTCGAACCAACATTTGGTGGTTTGGAGATGAGGAGCAGAAAAGTTAATCCTTCTACTACTCCATCTTTAAGTCGGCCCCCTAGAAAAAAACGCAGCGCTCCTGAAACTGTTACCAACCAAGCATCAGGTTGGCATTAGTTTCTGATTCAACTTAGCCATTCACTAACCTAGATCCTGCTTTATCTACAAGCCCGGTTAGGCCTAATCAATTCGCTTGTATCCAAAATATAAACTGCAGCGATGAAGCGACCGACTTTGGGTTCAAATCTATCTCGCCTTGCCAATATTCCTGATGTATCTTTGGTTCTGCCTGATGCTCCTGATTGTGAGCATTGCGGAGCGAAAAGGTTCCATTTGGAACCTCCTACCTTTTGCTGCTCGGGAGGAGAAATCTCCATTGTCGCTCCTCCGATGCCTTATGCTTTGAAACGCTTGTTCATTGACAATGATGAAGAGAGTGCCCACTTCAGGAACAATGTTCGTACTTATAACAACAACCTTGGCTTTACATCATTTGCTGCAAAGTATGACGCTGATTTAACAAAGAACACGAAAGGTGTTTATACCTTCCGTGTCCAGGGCCAAGTCTACCATTTCCTTGATGGCCTTATTCACTTGGGCGAGAAACCTTCTGGCATTCAGTTATACTTCTTTGACACCGATGAGGAATTAGCAAAGAGGCTTGGTAACTCTGATAAGCTGCGAGAAAACACTTTGAAATTGCTTATGCAAATTCTTTCTGAAAATCCTTATGCCCGATTTTTTAAAAGCCTTAGGGATGTTCCAAACATTGACAACCTGAACATTGTCCTTAATTGTTATCCTTCACTTGACCAACGAGTCTATAATCTTCCCACCACCTCGCAAGTTGCAGCTATATGGACTGAGAGTGACGATCAGTCATCCGATAGGCGCGCTCATATTCGGGTTTATTCTCACTCAGCTGGTAGCCATAGGATTCAGCATTACTATGGATGTTATGACCCTTTGCAGTACCCTCTCCTTTTCCCTCGTGGTGAGTGTGGCTGGCACCATGGAATTAAGAGACTTCGCAAAAGGAAAACGAGAGGTGACGCCTGTGAGGCTGATCTTAACATCGATCCAGCTTCAGTTAACTCCTCGTCGGAGTTAATTGATTTGGAACAGAGAGGCAAGTACATTCCTCCCTTGTTATAAGCGACTAGGTCTATCCCTTGCATTATATCATCTAATAATGTCCGAAACATTTTCATTCTTTATAGCTGCTGACCAAGGCAAATCAGAGGATGATACTGTTTCGGTTAGGGAGTACTACTGTTATAGATTTCAGATACGGGACAGTGATGAATCAATGTTGTTGCACACTCTTAGATTGCTACAGCAGTTTTCGGTTGATGGTTATGTCAAGATAGAAACATCTAGACTTGACTTCCATAAACATCGCCAAAACAAAATACGCTCTGAAGCTTTACAAGGAGTTCTTGACAGTGTTTCTATTGGCCAAACTGCTGCTTCTAAGGTTGGTCGTAGGGTCTTCTTGCCAGCTTCCTTTATAGGTGGCCCCAGAGACATGCGCCGTCGCTACCTTGATGTAATGGCTCTGGTGCAAAAGTACGGGAAACCGGATATCTTCCTTACTATGACATGTAATCCAGCATGGAAGGAAATTCAAGAAAACTTGAAATACCATGAAAAACCTCAGGATCGGCCAGACCTTTTAGCTAGAGTTTTTAGAGCCAAGTTTGAACTTCTTAAAGCAGAAATTCTGAATAAACAAATCTTTGGTGATGTTGCAGCGTGCGTTTATGTGATTGAGTTTCAAAAGCGAGGCTTTCCTCATGCCCATCTATTATTGATCTTAAAACCTGGTCATAAACTACTTAATCCGGAGTTATACGACAAGGTGGTTTGTGCTGAGTTGCCCGATAAAGATCGATATCCTCACTTATATTCTCTTGTTGTCAAACATATGATCCATGGTCCTTGCGGAGCCATGGAAAAATCTTGTCCTTGCATGAGAGATGGATCCTGCAAAAATCGCTATCCAAAGAACTTTTGTGCTCAAACCACTCATGGTGAGGATACTTACCCATATTATAGACGAAGAGATGATGGCAAGAAAGTCAGAGTCCGCAGATTTACTCTTGATAATAGATGGGTTGTGCCTTACAACCCATACCTACTTGCCTTATTTGATTGCCACATCAACGTGGAAATTTGTTCAACTCTGAAACTCGTGAAATACTTGTATAAGTATGTTTTCAAAGGCCATGATCTGGTGAGCTTTAAAATCATTTCATGTGAATCAGCCAATGATATTGATGAAATAAAAGACTTCCAGAAAGGTAGATGGGTTTCACCTCCGGAAGCTTTTTGGCGCATTTATGAATTTAAGCTCAATGAAATGACTCCAGCAGTTTACACCCTTCAAGTTCACCTTCCAGACCAGCAATTTGTTTCCTTTGACAAGAATTCTGACTTGTTGCAGCTGCTAAGCAAAGTTGATTTTTCTAAAACAATGTTAACTCAGTTTTTCCGCATGAACATAACTAATCAAAAAGCAGGAAATCTGAAGTGCTTCTATAGAGATTTCCCTGAACATTTTGTTTGGTCTGCTAAATATAAAGAGTGGACTGAACGAAAGCGTCGAAAAGTGATTGGTAGGATGGTGACTGTTAGTCCAAAAGAAGGAGAAAGGTATTATTTGAGGTTACTTTTAACTCACATTCCTGGCCCGACCTCTTTTGAAGACCTTTTGACTGTTAATGAACAGAGATTTGACTCATTTAGAGAGGCTGCTTTGGCTCTCGGTCTTTTACACTCTGATGCATACATAGAGGACACGCTTCAGGAAGCAGTAGCATTTCAGATGCCTTCCTCCCTGAGGTTATTATTTGCCACTCTTCTTGTTTATTGTTCCCCGGCAGATCTTAGGTCGCTCTGGGAAACATTTGAACCTCAACTTTCTGCCGACTATAACCACCATCAGCCGTCCCATGGTCTTTCTCCCCCTGAAATTAGAAGAGAAGTCCTGCAAGATATAAATAACTCGCTTGAACAAATGGACAAAAGCATTGCTGATTTCCACTTTGTCTCCGATAACTTTGCATGTAGTTACGCTGGAAGATTAACAAAGGAGATTGAGAGTGAAAAAAACTTAGCTGTGGCACCTGAAGATCTGTTATTGTCTCAAAAGTTGAATTTCGAGCAAAAACATGCCTATGATACGATCCTAAACGCATGTTTTTCCTTGGAAGGACAAGCTTTTTTCGTCGATGGCCCCGGTGGCACAGGTAAAACATTCCTGTACCGGGCGCTTCTCGCCACCTTGCGCTCGCAGAACCATGTTGCACTTGCAGTGGCAACATCTGGAATTGCAGCGTCAATCCTTCCTGGTGGGAGGACAGCTCACTCAAGATTCAAGATACCGCTTGATTTCTCAAAAACTAAGAGTTGCCAGCTTAGTAAGCAGAGCTCCGCTGCGAAACTCCTTTCTGAATCTGCTCTTATTTTGTGGGATGAAGCTTCAATGGCTAAGCGGGAAACAATTGACGCATTTGATGAATTGCTGAAGGATTTAATGGATTCAGATTTGCCTTTTGGCGGAAAGGTGGTAGTTTTTGGAGGCGATTTTCGGCAGACTCTACCTGTCATTGAGCAAGCAACTAAAGAAGTACTCATAGAATCAACCTTCCCTGTTTCTCCCCTGTGGTCTAAACTACACAAAATCAGGCTCACGGAAAACATGCGAGCTATGTTTGATCCAGGCTTTTCACGGTTTCTTTTGAGTGTGGGAGAGGGGAGGGAACCTGTTGATGACCAGGGCGAAATAACTTTATCGCCAAATATAGTTATTCCTTATCTAGATAAAGAGGACTCTTTGAACAGGTTAGCTGGTTACGTGCCCTCAAATTCTGCTCGTTTTTTATAGTTATTCATTTGACTTCCATTATAAACGAATCTTCTTATACACAGGTTAATAGAAAGCGTGTTTCCAGATTTGAACCTGTATACACAGGATCCCTATAGCCTGATAAATAGGTGCATTCTTGCTCCTAAAAATAGCTCGGTCGATGAGCTGAATGAAATAATGATTAGGAGGTTTCCTGGAAGCCTTCAAACTTATATTAGCTCGGACAAAACTGTTGATCAGCGGCACCAAAGTGATTATGAGGACTTCCTCAATTCTCAAAATCCTAAAGGTCTCCCTCCTCATAAGTTGCTATTGAAGGAAAACTGCCCGCTAATGCTTCTAAGGAATTTAAACCCAGCTGAGGGTCTATGCAATGGAACAAGGTTAATATGTAGAGATCTCAGGCAACACACAATTTCTGCTGAGATTGTTTTTGGTCATCACCGAGGAAAAAGAGTTTTTATTCCAAGGATACCTCTTCAGTCACCCGACAATGACAAAAATGGGATTCCATTCGTCCGAACACAGTTTCCTGTCCGACTTTGCTTTGCTCTCACCATCAACAAATCACAGGGTCAAACTCTTGACTACGTCGGCATCTATCTACGAGAACCAGTTTTTTCCCATGGACAGTTGTATGTTGCTCTGTCCAGAGCTAGGACTGCAGCTAAAGTTAAAATTCTTCTTGTTCCTGGGACATTTGATGGCACAAAAGTAGACTGCAAAACTCGGAACGCAGTCTTTCCTGAAATTTTTAGATTAACAAACCAGTAGCCTATTTTCTGCTTGAATTATGCTAACTAGAGGTGCTATGCAGATCCTTTTTTCTTAGATTACAATGTTGTTGGATCTTTAAATTGTTGTTCATTTATGCAACAACTTATGTGTTTATAGGATGGCTAACTTGCTGCCGATGCGAGATGTTATGCCTCACATGAAGAATTGGAGCTGCATTATCACCGTTCAGGAAAAGCAACAGGTCACAAACTCACTGGGAACACCTACAAGAAAACAGAAGTTTGTTTTCTGCGATTCAGAAGTTAGTCAAACCTGGTGCTCTGTTTTAGATGTGATTATTTAAATACGCTACTTTTTTGCTTTCTACATCCTGTGTTAATTTCACCTCTTTAAATAGGGATCGAGGGTCGAAGGAATCATCTTCAATGATGACATTTCTAGAATGAGTCAGATTTTGTAGGTTTATAAAAAGTATAAAATCTCCAATGCTGAGGTCAGGCCTATACCACTGAAGTTCCAGACACCTGAACTTACCGTTCAATGGGTCATCAGTAGCAGGACTGTCATTGATGAAATTCCTGATGATGATGCAGTCATGGCTGTCAAATTCTGCTATTCAAAGTTTACTGATTTAGTTCAGTACATGGATGACAAAACTAAATCAGTCGGTGAGCCTTTCAACGCTTTACACTTACTGTCTTTACATTGTGAACCAAACTTTTTATAATCCCCTTCTCTGTGTTATTCATAGACGTGCTGGGAGTCGTGGTTAGTGCACTCGAGAGGAGAACGATTACCAAAAACTCAAGGCAATCAGATGTTCAGAAATTTGTCCTGCTTAATGAAGAGTGAGAACTTTAATCTTCTATTTATATTAAATTTCAAGCTGCCTCTCCTTTTCCTCTACAGTCATTTTTTCCGATCTGTAACTGTTACCTCTTACCGCAAATGCAGATCACAGACGGTCCTATTATCTCTATGGGATAGCTTTCTAGCTAATGAAGGAGTGGAAATGCTATCTAAACTCCACACCTATCCTGTGATCATTGCTCGCAGGGTCAAAGTGAATAACTATAATGGTTTGTTCCCCCTTCTATTTTTTCCATTTTTAGCGCTTTGCCTTTTATTCTCGTCTACAACACCTGTAAGTCTTTCTCCATTTTTTCACGGTGTAAAGGAGTCGCACTTGGTACTTGGTTTGATTCAGCCATTCTGGTTGATCCCCCTATACAAGAAGCAAGAGAACTCAAGAACTGGTACAGTGTATTTTCAGTCATCATTCTATACACAGCTTCAATCTAAATGTTGTCTTGTCTACCAGTTCTAATAATTTGTGTGTGTCCTTTCACCCAGGGCATTGAGGAACACTAAACTGATTAAAGAGATTGTTGAAAAAAAAGACTATATTAAATATAATCCACAGCTGTCGTTAAAGTCAGACCAGAAAACAACTTGGATTTGTAACATAACTTCATCACAAAAGGTTTGTAACTGGATAGTGTTAGCCTCCTTTCATACATTTTCTCATTTATGATCATATTTTTATATTCATGCTTGCTGGTCATTTAGATTGTGTGGGTAAAGGCACAAATATCTTTTGAGCACATCTTCCAGAAATATTGGTACATGAGTTGCAAAAACTGCTGCCGAGCTACAGCAGCTGACTATGAAATGGTGTTTACCTGTAACTCATGCAAAGAGAAACATCCTGCAGTGCCTAGGTGCTGAATAGTATGCCTTCCCTACGTTCATTTCTGTTCGTTGTTATCTAATACTGTGGCTGTCACTAAATAGCTTCCTGCATATTGTGTACCCATTTTCAGATGCCGCTTTGATGTCGATTTGACTGATAGCACTGGTGTGGTCCCAGCTTCAGTATTTGGCGAATTAGCAGAGAAACTATTAACATTTAATGGCCTAGAAGCAATGCAGCATTTTGATCAGGTTCTTATGTGCTAGATCCTAATACTAAATATGGTATATAATTTTTACTCTTGTTTTTTTCTTTCCTTAACAGAATGTTGAACTTCCACTCGAGTTTGTCCACAAGGAACTTAAATCAAAAACGTTTCTGCTACACATCAAACCTGTCCAAGCACAGCTGGCAGATGCAAGGCAACGTTACACAATTATATTCTTCTCTGAAATTGATGATCCTGCCGCTTCTGTCCAGTTAACAAGTCAAACAGAAGATGACTCTCCTTTCCCTTGCAAGGAAACTGAGACTGTACAGCTCGGGACTCCAGGTAAATATCAAATACCTGGTTTCTGTCCTATGCTTATCTTTTACGGCAAATGAACAGCATGGCATGATAAACAATTTGTTATCACAGGAGGTAACGGTGATCGGTCAAAGATTTGTGTTCGCCTTTCTGAGAGATTTGATGAACCCCAGAACATTGAACCAAATGTGGATGAAAATGCAGAGTGCAGCTCTAGCAAAAAGCAGAAACTCAACTAGCTTGTGCCTGTTCAGTTTTGCATTCACCTGACTCTTGGATATTGCCTAACATGCTATCGTATATTTTTGCAAGGGTTGTTATGCATCCTTAGAAGGCTGATTGATGTATTAATCGAAGATGTGTTTTTTGTCCATGAAATACCCTTTAAACTCCTTTTGGTCTAGCACCTTCTACGTTTACTGATAAACTGGAATCAGCAACCACTATGTATCTAAATTGATGCCTTCCAACTGTTATGTACTTGTTTCAGTAGCTTTTCAATTCGCCTTCGACTGCATTCAGTTCATTAACTGACATCTTGGTAGATGTAGTAATTGTTATACATCACTTTTTCACAATTCGTTTCTCAGAACCTATTCAAGTCTTCCCCTACACATAACCATCTTATTAAATAACACACCTACTGTTATGACATGCACTTACTCTATTGACCAGCTCAGGCTCGAAGACTTATTATCCTTAAAATGTGTAGTTGTTCACTCTGCAATAAATGTAAGCAAGCCAACTTTTTCCTTTGTTCAGGTTCAATAAATTTATAGGAGGCAGATATCTCAAATCATTAAACCACTTACCTGTAAAAAATGAGAACCAGCCTAAATATAAAAAATGTTATTACCAAAAAAACTATCGGCCATCGTTTCTTTATATATAGCTGCTACTTTAACAGAACATGCATCCCACGTAAAACGCTGCAGTAGGCTAACTTTCCTACTTTCACCGAGTTATCCCTAACGTTTGCCACTTTACTTTGCTTGCATATCATTACATCTTTCACACTTTATTTTTATCAGCTTCCCTCACCAGATCAATGGCAGGAGGACCATCTACCTATGGATTAACAATCACCGGCTCAATGACCTGTTGTTTTTTGCTAAAATGCAATCACAGAGGAGAGGTCTATTTTTTCCTTTCATTCCATAAAAAAATACGTGTTAACGATGGTTAGTACAATTATACATGTTCATTTACCATTTCCTTTCCTAATCTCCTAAAACACAGATTCTACCTGCTGAATTGAAACTATTACTCAATCAGCACCAGAGCAATACAATCATTCTCAGACATGGAACTTATAAATGGTCTGTTGCGGTCGGTGATCGTTCATTTGAAGAAGGTTGGGATCAATATTGCCATGAAAATATCTCTAACAGGCATGATATGTTGCTTCTACGCCATAGCGGCGATCTCATCTTCGATGTAATCCATTTTTCCGAGCTGCAAAAACAAGTTTACCTATGTTGGACAGTTCCATTGCCAAATTTATTGCAGCCCTGTGTCAATCATGCACAAGGTCAGTTTATACCTCACTTTATATCATGCAGTTACTTGTAGCAAAATTCTCTCTCGTTTATTATCTGCTAAATACCTTCTAATAGTGCAGAATCTATGAGAGTTCAACAGTTGGTTGCCTCATCGATGAACCCGAATTTAACCCAAAACCTCACTGATTCGGTTTCCTTCTATCAAACCTTTAATACAGCAACCCCAGACACATTGGTGACTGATAGAACGGTTATTTGGCGTATTTTGCACTGCTATTTTGTCCTAATTTTGGCTATTCACGGTACTAAGAATTGGAATTTAACTCATATTTGATATTTGTGTGAAATATAGGTGGCTAGCATTAAAAATGATATCTTGAGGTGAATTTCCAGAAGACTTCTCATTTCAGGGCGTGGCCACGCCTTAGAAGGTGGACGAAACCGAAAGCCGGACCGTGGTCCACGTGAACCCGAAGCGTAGGATAAAAACTCCAAAGGAGATAGCTTTTGCAAAAGGAATTGCTCCAGACGTTTCTTCTTTTGACTTATTGTGGGCGGCGGCTATAAAGGAGGATTCACAAGGATCAAGACCTAAGTTGTGAATTTTACTTTTTCTACTTTTTGTCAGACGCTTTCCGTCGTTTCTTTTTGGCTTTTACTTCGGCAGCAAATTAGATAGCTAGATTGACATTGAATCAAAAACACTTTGGCTTCGTAATTGAGACTCCGAAGTAGGGACGAAGGCAGGGCCTTTTCGGTTGTTATTGCAGTTAATTTCCCTTTCCCAATTCCTTGGCAAATAATTGAATGAAGTCAATTAAACCACGTGGAATTGACATGATGAGGAGCGGCTAATTTTCTCCTCTACCCAAAGGTTGACGCGATGGCGCGGTCCATAATATCTGTGAGATCTAACCAAGCTTTCATTATTTCTTCCAATTTGTTATTATTCGTGCGTTTCCTGAATTAATTGTTCATGGGTATTTTATTAATTGAATATCAACGGCCGGGTATTTGATTTAATTTAATAGCCTACTGCCACGTTAATTAAATAGAATCCGTAATTGTTCATTTAATTGACACCTCGTGGCAACCACCATAATTGGTTTTATGTTGGGGAAACGCAAGATCTAATTTAAATAAACCCTCTTAGCGTGTTTATTGGTTAGGGTTGGGTTCTTCTAGTTTTAATGCAATTGGGTAATTAAATTCCTACTGTCGTACCTAGGGTTGTTATCTGGTTAGGGAAACAGTCAATGGTCGTACCTTGACTGCCGAAAAGGTAAGGAAGAACTGGTTGTCAGAGCTTATTGATAACTATAACCAACCTAGTGATGAATGGATGAAATATCTTTGCATCGATGAACATTTATTTGGACCGTGCCTGAGCAGTTGATCCTTTGGGTAGAACTTTTATTAATTGCTATTTTTAGTGAATTGTGCTTTGTGAGTTAGTTTTGAATTTTATTTGTTTTATTTTATTTTATTTTTATTTGCCTCTCATTGAAAATCCCCCAATCTCGTTCTACTAATTTGGAAAGAAATAATTTCCTACCTGCTCCCTGTGGAATCGACCCTACTTGCCATTGTACTTAAAATCAGTATTTTTATAGACAAATCCGGTATATCGGATCAAGCAAACTCTTCGGGAACAGGGTGAATCAAGTAACCCATTGCACACCTAGGGTCCCTGCTCCAGTACTTGGATTTGTTCTATAATTATTTAATTGAGGTGGTAATTAGGACTTTTTAGTAATTATTATTGCACAGGTTCGGCACCTGTCAGTGACCTATACTTGCACTATTTCCTTTCTCTTCTTCTTACTGCATTTCTTTAAACCAAATCTATATATTATATTCTCCAATCTAACTTTCATTCATTTCTATTAGAAAATCCCGCGATTCGTCGATCACTTCGTTAATGAACAGAGAACTCCAACGCTTCTTATTAGAACAGGAGAGAAACTTACAGAGATCGGTGTAAAAGGGAGAAAGCTAAAAAAAAATTGGAGGCACTTCGTTCTCCAGCATCAGTTGCAGCACAATGAAGTCCTTGTCTTCGTTCCAGAATCAGCAACTACCTTCACAGTTTTAATATTTGATGATAATGGAGTCGAGAAAGTCTTTCCATGGTCTTCCATCTTCAGCATTTATTCTAATTGTCCTGCTTCTGCCTAGCTTCTGTAGTATGTCTTTCTCTATAAAAAATAGATTCGCTTCTCTGTTGAACCTTTACACCAGACATGACCGAATTTTTTTCCCGCTGGAACGCACTATGCAATCTTGCTAACTTTAACTGATAGTCGTATGCAATCATACATCCAATAAGTGCATTACAAATACCTAACAGTTATTATTGCCGCTAATTTTCTTCACATAATCAGTAATTAATTTAATTTATTCTAACATGAACTCATGTACACTAACAATTCCACCTTTCTATTCATCGGCTGCTTAATTCATTCTCCAAACAATACGCTTCATTTAGGAGATATTTCCATTCACTGAGAAGTAACAATAAACTCCGATTAGGACACAATTAAACATCAAAGTCAATGTTTATTGTAAATTTAAAAACAGCAACAATAATCAATCTTCCACAGGAAAATAGCATAATGAATAACCTTTCCTGAACACTTACTGTTTTTAAATATTGCATTTACTTCCACTGACACTTCGTCCCATCTCTACACGAAGCAAAACCATACCAATCCTTTCAATTTTACTCGCCTCGATTTTTCCTTTATAGCTAAATTACTCAGATACAATTCATACGCTTTATGATATTTCCATTTGAAAATCTGGGCATTTTCTGGGCAACATGAAATTACCACCGCGCATCGCGCGGTGATCCCCTCCTAGTCAAAGAATAAGTGCCTAGAAGCTTTATTCTAAGTATCTCCACTCTGAAATTTGGTCCTCTACAATCCGCAATCTCTAGTAACGTCCCTATTCCCGGTAGTACTTTTGCCCAAAAATTTATTAGAAAGCCCGGAAAAAAATGGTATTGGAAGAATTAACTGGTCTGGGAGTACTTGCGCGTGCGTGGTAGACATGGTCATGGTTTAGATTTGAATCGGAATTAAATTGAAATTGGATTTGGCAATTTGTTGAACCAGAATCGAAACCAGCTCTAGGGCACCGAAATCGTGACTAAAAGTATGGTTCAGATTCATAAAAATTAGAATCAAAATTAGAATTAGTAAGTTTTTGGAACCGGAACCGTCTATTATAAGAATTTTTTTTTTTTTGGGGGCAAACATATGCATGTACTAATTTAATGAGAAAATTGAGATATTTTTCCTATTCTATTTTAATTCCAATAAGAAAATTATTTGTCTTTTGTTTTAGTTAAAATGTTCAATAGATATGAAGTATTTTCTCATTAAATTGTATCATTTTCTTTTTCCAGTCAGCTAATAATCTAATAAAAGTGTTTTTTCTTCTAAATTCATGTTCTTTAATTTCTTCTTATTCTAAACACATTGCTATATTGTTTTATATTAAATTTTGTAACCATTAGTGATTAAACACATTTTAATTTTGTAACCATTAGTGATTAAATAGTAATTAGAAACAACTGGAATAGTAACCAAAATGAATTGAAACAGTAACGGAAGGAATCGGAGCTAGAGGTTCTAGAGTTGTAACTGTAACCATCCTTATAAGGACCGGTTCTAGTTCCACATTTTTTTAGAAAAGGAAAATTTACGATTTTGAATTGAAACTGACAGTTT